CATTTCTACCAGTAGTTCAAATTGTGCTCTATATGCTTCCCATGGTGCCTTCCCATCGAATTCCTGTGGCTTCCTTCGTACTGGATCACTCCTATTACTGACATTAATATCTGGGATGTGACTTCTAACAGGACTGAAGATGTCTGCACTAGGGTTTAGCTGCGGTGTCTGGAAGGGGCTTGCCTTTGTCTGGAGCTGATTAAGTAGATGGTTAATGTATCCTCCTTGTGTAAAAGACAATAAATCGTCCTTTAATGTATCTAATTCGCTTTTAAATTTACTAATGTTTTCTATTTGTACTTCTTGTCACTGTTGTTGGCTTTTCTGTAGTTGCTGCTGACTTTCCTGCAACTGTTGGAGACTTTCTTCCTGTTTCCTTTATTGTTCTAGTTGCCACTGCTGTAATCTCTTTTCTTGTTTCTTTTCTCGTACTTCTTGTTTCTTTTCTTTTTCCTCCAACAACTGCTGTAATTTCTCTTCTTGTTTCTTTTCTTTTTCCTCAACAACTGCTGTAATCTCTCTTGTTTATTTTGCTGTTCCAGCTGCAGGTTTTCTTGCAAATGCTGTAATCTCTGTTCTTGTATTGCTGCCATCAAATCTGCTAAGCTGTAGTTTGATTTGCCGCCTCTCGTTTCTATCTTCTTCTTTTTTTATTTATTTTTTCTATCCCACTTCTGACACCAATTTGTTACGTCTCTGTATGTTTGTTTGTTAATTTTCTGTGATACAAGTCTTTTTTAAATAAAACTGGTTTATTCTTCATCAATACAATTTTGCAATACACATAATTTTTACAGTTACTTTGGCATAAACACACACTATAATTCACAACAATTCACTCACTTTCTACCGCGCTTGACTCAATTGTCCGTCTCTATCTTCGCCTGTCAGCAACTATAGTTCCGATCTGCTATCCTCGGTTCCTACCGACCGTAACTGCTGTCCTTGGTTCCCCACTCTCTCTCCTTCTCTCTTTGCCGTCTCCTTTGTCTAGCGCACTTATATACGATAATACCACCTCTTCTAGAATCTTCTAGGCTCTCAACACGTGCTACCAGTGTCACTTGACTTCCACTGTCGTAACACACTAGCGTTTATCGCAAATCTTCTAGAATACTCGTCACGTGACCCCCGATGTCGTAACAATATTTTTCTAACAGAATGGTTGGCCTCTGGAACGTGTTGCTTACAGATGTTGTAGAGAAAGTAAATTTAAGAGAAAACTTGATAATTATATGAACGATAAGGACTGTCTTTGAGGTTTGTATAGCTTTGCACTGAGAAAAGCAAACAAAACTTATAAAGATTAAAATGCAATGATTCATCAGTTGAGAAACCTCGCTGTTAACGATGTTTCCAACCGTAAACCCAATAATATCTTATGAAGTTCGGCCAACTTAGGAAATTTATGCTAACTGTAATAGCTTAACACTTACCTATGTAACAAACAATATGTAACACACAAAAACGCATAAAACTGGAAGGAGTTAGTTCAAAACATATCCTACAATGTCTAAAACGAACAAAACCTTTCTCAGCTCTGCGCCCGTGGCAGTAAACTGTATGAATTCTATGAACTTGTTAAAGTAGAAAAGACGTGAAGTTTTCCCATTTTTATTATTATTTTAATAGTATGTATGTGTACCAGCTTTTATGCAGCCATTTGTGCTAGGAAAGTGAACCCAAATTGTCATTCTGCAATGAATATTTTCTATTCTTTAAATAAAACTTCTTTCTATTGTGTTTTAAAACGTATTTAATTGTTTTGTATTTCATACTCTAGAAGACGCTATTACTATTTGACGTCAGACGTAACTGTAACCAATCGGTCAACTATAAAAATGGCTGGCGAGTACCCGCTGGAAAACGTGATTCTTGCCACTGATTCGTACAAGGTGTGATGAAGTTTTATTTTTAATACTTTTATGTTATGACAACGATCTGGACAATAAAATATTTTGAATTAATCGCATAAATTCTTGCCCTTGTATATGATTAACAATTTGATGGTTTTTCGTTCACTTAAGTTTTACACGCTACATTATTTACATCAAATTTTTAAATATCTAACGAATTTCTTTAGAACTTGGTCCCTAGATATATTATTATTATTTATAATATTACTATCAGTGTTATTACTAGTACTACTAATGATAGTGCTTGATAAATGGTGAAGCAAACAAATTATTTGTTTCTTGTAACCAAATTAATACTTCATTCTTTCTTTTAAAGTTAGATTATCCAATTTTTATATTTATTTATTGTTTTATAATTTATTGTGAGGATTATTCTGCATTAAGATTTAAATGTAAAATTGTAAGTAACACGAGGGATATTGCCATTATTGGGACAACGGTCGAAAACATCTATGGCGAATAGGGTATCCAACTGGTGAATCAATTCATTGTAACCATTAAAAGTTTTTGTTTAATGAAATCGTACACTTCTAGTCAAACCAGCATAATAAATTGATTACATTATTTACTAAGTTAATTTTGATCTGTATAGATAGCTTGCTTTGATCAGAAGCCATTGGTGTTTATTACTAATATTGTTGATTAATGATTAGAGATGAGGTAGATGGGTCAGATTATGAATTTGTGGGGTTTTGAGTGTATTACATAACAATACAAGTTACTTGACAATATCAGTATAATGTAATTGTATTATAAAGTGTATTACATAACAATACAAGTTACTTGACAATATCAGTATAATGTAATTGTATTATAAAGTGTATTACATAACAATACAAGTTACTTGACAATATCAGTGTAATGTAATTGTATTATAAAGTGTATTACATAACAATACAAGTTACTTGACAATACCAGTATAAGGTAATTGTGTTATAAAGTGTATTACATAACAATACAAGTTACTTGACCATATCTGTATAGTGTAATAGTCTTATAAAGTAATCATCTGCAGACACTATACATGTATTCAGTTTCCAGTTAAATAACTATGATAAATGAAATACGTATCAAACATAATATGGATACTGTTTTAATTCAAAGCTAAAAGGATATTTATCTTTCAAATCTAACTAGTATATATACATTCTAGAAGTTTTCTCATGTTATGGGTTTGCTGATCCAAGCTGTACTGATGAGCCTTGAATAGGCGAAAGTGCAGTCCACAGCAGAGGGTATGGCCAATCAAAGTATGCAATTGGCCCTTTTGTTGTAGATTCTCTTTTCAATTTCACCCCTGGTGAAAACGAAAAAAATAAATATTTAACACATATATACAGATTATGAATCTATTTGAATCTTAACCTGTAGGAACTTGCTTGATCTTTGGCCAAACCAGGCCCCTTTTTACAAACATATTTGGACCTAAAAATAGTCTTGGGTTTCATTAGAATGCATTTAATTGTTGGCAAACACATTTAAGAAGCTTAATTTAACTTGAGTAATTTTTACATAGGTTAAAACTTAACTATTTAAGTGTTTTTGCCAGTTTTTGTGTTTGAGATTTGTATATTTTGAATGAAGTCAGTATTACTTACATAGTTATGTTCCAAGTTAATTTACTACAGGAAAGATACCAAGTTTAAAAAAGTGCAAAAATTAGCTTTTAGAATGCAATAATGATCTTAAAACACAAAAACCTGACTACTAAGAGAGTTAAAGATTTGAAATAATTTTCTGTGGAATTGAATACTGTAGAATGTAAGATGAGCTCACATTCAGACTTATTCCTTGTTAAAACTTTTGTTGCCTGTTTTAGTGAGTGGAAGTATAACCTTGTGGCTGACTTTCTGTCTAATGTTCAATCATAGGATGCTTACATTCTGAGAACTTACACTGACTCATTGATTTGGCAAGAGTGTGTAAAATGAATTTTGATCTTGAGAAGTGTGAAGTTATGAAATTTATTAAAATTTTGAAATGACAAAGAGGATATAGGAAAAAGAGATTTAGAGCATAAAAACATTTTTAAAGATAACTCTTTTAAGATTGAATTATGAGGTTAGTTGCTATTATTAAGTTGGATTTTAGGATGTTTGTAAGAGAAAAAGAAAAGTTGTATGGTCTCCAGTCAAACTGTTTATGGTGAGATACCCCAGAGATTAATGCTGGGGCCTTTGCTTTTTCTTATTTACAATAATAACATTGCTAGAAGTGTTATTATTAAATTAGGATGTTGATATTCTAAGGAATAATGTGAGTCAGTTGGTTAGCTCGACAAATATCTGGCAGATGATCTTTAGTTATTGTAATTTTAAGATTGGGGTTGTCATACTTTGAATCACTCACTTAATATAGATAGGAACCCACTCAGCAGAATGACTGAAGAAAAGTACTTGACATAGTAGTGCATAAGCTACTCGAGCCATTGAGGTAGTATAATGTTGCTAGTAGCAAAGCTAAAAGAATTTTAAGGTGTATTTACAGACATACTAATTACAAGTCAAAAGAGGTAATTATCTGGATACCAGTGACTATTTAAGCATTGTATGAAATACTGTGTACGGTTTTGATCACTCTATTTAAGAAAGGTTATTGACTTATTAACATGACATATAAATGACAAGGAGCCAATTAAGCCTCCGAAGCTCTCCTTTCACAACCACCATTGGGAAAAAGTGAAAACTTAAACCTTCTATTTATCTTTCAGGAAACAATTGATTCCTCTTTTAAACTCTTGTAAAGTCCCAGCTTCCACTGCTGCTGACAGCAGTTTATTCTGTAAACCAATCACCCTGGTGGAGAAATAA